CCATTAGCGGCCTTCACTCAACGCCTGGCACTAATGTCTAGCTTCACGGGAGTTCACCTTGACGTGCATCACATTGCCGGTCCAAAAAACTCTGATGAGGACCACCTTAGCAGATGGGTGCCGCCTGCACCATTGGCAGCACGGTGGCTTCAGGCGAACAGGCGTAGGGTTTCTTTGAAACAGCTCTGGTTTGCTTCCCCCAATGTTTCATTATGTCCGCCGTCATGGCGACCGTCATTTCCTGTTCCATTCAGCTCACCCATGGGAGCTGCATTGTGAGTGAAACTCAGTGCAGATCGCACGGGTGTTATTTGGCGGTTAGATGCGCGTCTACACTTCTTTCACTGCCAGGTTGTAACTTGGTGAAATGCATGCCGATCCATTTTGGACTGGACCAACCAAGTTGGGCCAGCTTGTGATTCATGGATCGACATTTCCGGCAGTGAAAGAGTGAAGGGGTTACTGAATGCGTGTCTCAATTTCCTTTTATATGGAATTGAATACTTGGATTATTTGATAAATAATCCATTCCATATATTTCCATTTCATAGCAGCTGCAAAGGATTAAACCGAACTGCAGGATACGTTTGGCCTCCTTTTGCGACAATACCGGCGCAGAATCTGCTGCTAATACATTCTACTCAGCTACCTTGCCATTGGCTGCATTTGCTCAGCGTCTTGCNNAGCTGCAAAGGATTAAACCGAACCATGTTTATCCAGTTCATTGTCGTGTTTTTTTCATGTTCGGATGGACAGACGAGCCAGGATGTTTAGTTCCTTCAAATGGCAAATCCATCAGAAAACGCAGCTAGTTGGATAAAACCTGAATGGTTGATAGATACCTTACATCAAGCTACCCATTGTGCACCACTCCCCTGTATTTCTGGTTTCGTTTTCAGCAGGATTTGGGACACGAGCGTATCTTCATGATCACCAAACATCATGATCCTCGCAGTTCATGCCCTGCGGTGGAACTGATTTGGCTGCCATGTGTGCATTGCGCCTTGTACTTGGAAGTTGCAAGTTTTTTTTTCTCGAGGTTAAGATTCCGAAGCATGGCATGCTTGCGTGTTGCAGGCTCATCTTCCCGTCTGGACTTTCTCTGATGCAGTCCTGTCCCGTCGTGCATGATGAAAACCATCCATAGGGTTGGAGGTGTTTTATAAGTCAGGACGTGTTTGGCCATAATTCAACTGACAACGAGCTGTCGTGTCCTTCAAGAAATTTGAAGCACGGTCCGGTTAAATTATTGTCCAGAGTCGCTGCCGCAAGGAACTCCGGTAGGACGACATGTTCTACAGTTGTGATGCTGCGGTTGTTTCCAAGGTCGGCCCGGTATTGTCAATCTGCAAGATGAAACGGGCACATGGTTGACACTTGTGTTTGACCATGTGCATGTCAGTTTCAATCCAGTGGTTCAAATCTTCTGCACACGGACATGTGAGATGTCGCGTTCCAGTGCCATTTTTTTTAATGGTTTAGTCCAAACTATGTATGCAGCTGTTCGTTCCGTTGGAATGTCACTGAAATCCAGCAGATATTTGGGTCTGAAATGTTGATCATATGCAACAACCATTTGTCCAAGTACACGTGTGAGCGTTTAGTTAAATGGGAACTACAAAGTGTAGAGCGGATTACAAATTGTTCACTACAATGACAGTGCTTGGCGAAACAAATGGTCCTCATGTTCTTTGCGGACAGGGGAGGTGGGGAATTCATTGCCCTAGCGCACATGCAGCACGTCGTGGCTGCTGCCAGGTTAGGGCCAATACTGGGAGCTTCAGATGTGAAAGTGGCGCCGGGCTGAGATGGGGTTTATGGTCTGTTGCGGCTACCAAAGATGCTGGGCTCTACATATCAACTCCTGATGTTCTGGCTTGGGCCAGCAGCTTCTCCCTGCTTTGGGCAGGGCGTGGTATCCACTCTTCGGGATGTGCAGGCCATGTGTAGGTGGCTTGAGTGAGACATGATGGACAGAAGAAAATGAATCATCATGTGGACGTTGAATTGGATCGTGCAAGCTGCGCAGGACCAACTGATGCAATGGTTGGAATGGCTGGCAGCCTTGCATGTCAGTCTGTTTCGTTGCGCAGCAAAATGCAGTTTAATGTCTCACGACAAGGTTCCGACTTATTGGCTTTGCGCATATGTTCTTGTACTTTGACGATCCTGAACACGACGAGGCTTTTTTTGTGCGGGTGCTGAACTCCAACTTGCAGTGTAATTTTCAGCCGAGGCGGCAATTGAAGAAGCCAGGGCAACATATTCCTCCGACTTCGTGAGTTTTTGTCTGTATACGGGCTTAGTCAACGCCGCTTGTTGCCACAAGGCACAGTTGCATGTAAGCTCATTGAGCCTTAGGCATGGCGAGCAGCTGAGAGAAGAGTGGCAACATCTCAGGATGCCTGCCGTCAGTGCATTCTTGGGCCACTCATGCAGACTGCTTGCAGAGCAGATGTCTAAAGCTGACATCAGCGCAGGAGGTGTAGGGGTGCCAGAATAGCAGAAATTGTTGCCATGATCTTTCGCTTGGGCTCAAAGGGGGCAGCAATCTTGAATAGAGTTGCTGCAGAGTGTTTTGGGTTTTGGGGACAGTACGGGATAGCCTTGTTGTTGCAGTGGTCCGGAACTTAGCCAGCCGAGTGACGTTGCTGGTAACTTTCCTTGGATGTTTGCTATTACACTCCGACTTCTTTCACTAAAAGTCATACTGCTGTTTGCGCTCAGGCCTTCGCCACGCCCGCCTTGTTGCGACCATGGGAGGCCTGCACGGTGAATACCATTCGAGACGTGTTCCTCTAAGCCAAGTATATGAAACTCTTGAACCATAAACCTGGGGATAGATCTGTTATTCTCCCAGAATAAAGGGCGTCCCTCCACGAAGAGTTTCGCAAAGCGATCCTTATACAACTTTTCGCAGGGGTCCCCATAGCTTGATATTTTTTGCGCATCCCGAGTAGCCTGGGGAAAGCCGTATCCTCTCTATACATTTATCCCAAAAGAGGCACCACGTCGCTTCAGAGAAGGAAGTATTTTGGAAAAAAGATGTTGACTTTGCCATTCGGAAAGAGAGTTTCATAGTTTTGTGGGGCTGCTATGTTATGGGTCTCATTTTTGTCATTCTTTCTGCCAGCTGTCAGTATCCTCATCATGCTGGTAGTGAGTTCTTTCATTTCCTTCCTTCTGGATAAGCACCTGAAACGCCAGTGAGAAAGGATTTGAGAAAACACACAAGGCTTGGGTTCAGAGAAGAGAGCATTGCTCTGTCAGCAGGAGCAAGCTCCTACATTGCGATGCTTTGCATCGCCGGCTTCCTCGGAGCCACATGGACAGCGTCCAAAGTGTCCAGGCCATGCCTTGAGCAGCATGTGCTGAGAGACCAAACTTTTCGGAAACGGAGGTTGCTTGGCGTGTCTGACATTGTCCTGGTAATCACAACTGGTGTGGTCCTGGGGCCAGAGATTCTTGGCTGAATTGTCTTCAGCTTGTGAGATGGGGGCGACGTTTTGCCGGCTGCCAGAATTTCAGTAGACTCAGTTCACAGCCTCTTTAGCTGTTGTGCTTGCCAGCATTTTTGGCCTCGTCGCGAAAGAGTACACGGTCTGCTCCGAAGCTAGGCTCGTGATCTCGAAGGAAAAAAGGGGTGTTGAGCAGGGTGCCTGAGAGTTGTATCTGTGTCAGGCACACTGAGTGTGGTACCATCGAGGATGTCACGTACAAGGCCGGCTTTTCTGCAGATTGACGTGCTAAAGCATATTGGGGTTATATTGGGATAATGGAAAATCAAATGGAAACTACTATAGAATATTGGGAGTATATAGGGATAATGGAAGAGAAACTGGAAACTACTATAGGCCGCTTCATATTCGTTTTCTCGCTCAGATGGCTAACAACATGCCTCTTGGACAGGCTGGTTGCAAGCCTGCTTTGTGTGTGAGATATTCATTGATGAGATATGCTGTGGCTGTCAGGCTTTGGGAAGAATCCAGAATATGGATCTATGCAATCCGGCAGAGTGCGCCACCTCTGCTGGATGTTTTCTGGGTTCGTTGTGCAGCTGAGTCCCTTATAGTATAATGGGATAATGTACTATATAGTATATTGGGGGAATATTGGGGTAATAGAAAAGAAAATGGAAACTACTATATATTTACCCTAAGCCCTAAACCCTTAGTTTGCATACCTTGCAAAGGGGGCAGTGCTCTGTTCCAGTTACCACCATGACGAGCATGGAAGTGGCCATGGAGATGGTCACGAGCTCGGATGCTGCAGCTGCTGCTTTAGGGTTAAGTAAATATGGGGGGTTCCCAAAATTATGGGTACCTTTTTGGATGTCCCCATAATAAGGATTATAGTATTTTGGGGTCTATATTGGGGTCCCTTTATTTTGGGAAACTACCATATACAGTAGTTTCTATTTTCTTCTCCATTATCCCAATATTCCCCCAATATACTACTTAGTACATTGACTCTTCAATGGCAGCTTTGGAGGACACGGTGAGGATCACGCCACAGATGATGGTCATCACACCGCAGGCGACCACTCCACCAGCGATGGCCATTCCACCGGTGGTGACCATGCTAGTGGTGACCACTCCAGTGATGACCACTCCAGTGGTGGCCATTCCACCAGCGGTGACCATACCACTAGTGGTGACCACTCCGCAGGGGACCACAGCAGTGGTGGCCACAGCCCAAATGACCACAGCACTGACGGACATGGTGCTGCTGCAGACCATGACACGCATCAGGCAAGATGTGTCCATCCCATCAGTAGAGCAGCGAACAACTGCGATGTAGGAGTTTGTATGAAATGTACCATAGCTATTTTTCCTTGTAGGCTTTCCTTTTTGTTCTTAAGCTTTCCGTGAGCTTGCAGAAGCTTCTTGTTTTGAAGAATTTTGAGATTGTTGAGGTTATTTTTGAGTGAGCTAAAAGAACAGCCAGCTCTGTGATATTGCAATACAGAAGCAGAATTCGTGCTTTGACTGGAATTTTTGTGTAGTGAGGCAGTGTAAGCGCGAAGATCACACGGCAAGATTGTGTGGATATTTCATGTATGCCTCTGCCTACGAGTAGCCTTGTTGCAGAACATTTGTTCATGGCTTAGCGCTTGATATGCTGTCATTCCACAAAGCTCAGCCTTGTTTGGTACAAGTTGCCGTTGCAGACATGCACAGAACCCAGTGAACCGTAACGAGAGTGTGCCCTTCCTGCAGGTGGCACATGGTTCCGGGTGCCTTTGCTGAAGCTGGATATGTGGATGTGTGCACAGAGCAGTATCTTGTTTTGCGCCTGTCTGTCTTCCCTTTTTAGAAGTTGCAGTATCCTGCCCGGCATTCTGTTCAGCTACCAGGAGGTGTTTTCAGAATTTGCTTTATTCGTGCCACTTGAGTTGGACTAGGCACCGGCGCCTGTCTGGTGGTGGCAGCTACAATTCCTACGAGGCAGTGTCTGCCAGCCCTTTTTTTGCTGAGGACTCCTCAGCTGTTTGTGTACCTCATAGGAGTGCCTTGTGAAAAGCTGCGATGCTGATGTGCGGAGCTCAGGGAAACGGATTTGAGAGCGGAAGGTTTGGTCCTATTGTTGCAGCCTCTCAGAGCCCCAACCACCACTCAGATTTCGCACGAGTGCCAGCTGACTCCAGATGTCTTCACGCTGATTGGACATGCAGGCAGCCTGGCCATTGGGTGACAGGGTGATGCTTGTGATTGCTGCGAGGGTCATAAGCGATGACAAGCAAAATCATGTAATCTAATATTCTGGTGATGCAGAGCGTGCAGTTTGGACAGGTTTGCACTGATGTGAATTCTGCGCATGAAAAGCAGTGCAGAGAGGGTTCGCCTTGGTGCCCGCCTTCAGCACCTGTCGCAGGTGTGGCGCTCATGATTTTCGAGAGCGGCATGCATTTTGATTTTGAAAAGGCGAAGGCGCGCGTGCAACTGTTTTTCTTTCCCAAATGGGGGTCCTACAGCAGTTCTTTGGAGAGCTAGCCGCTAGCTGCTAGCGTATGGTTGACTGCAGTACATCCCTGTCTCCAGATTGTTGGGCCGAAAGCGTGTGCTGTGGCGGCCTGGGGCTGAGCCTTCCGAGTTACAATGGTCCTCATATATTGCAGGGTATATTGAGATCGTGGAAAAGAGAATGGAAACTACTATAGTGTATTGGGGTTTAAAGCTTAGGGTCTATGGCACACCGGAGCTATAAGGGATAATGGAAAAGCACTCGGAAACCGCCATATTATGATGGGGTATAAAATGGAGATCTTTTTTTCTGGAATGCTATTGGGCGTATTCAAGGATTATGTCAGGGTGATAGGCGCCACTGGCCAATGCAATGTCACGCTCCCCTAAGAACAAACTCTAAACCCTAAACCAGCCCAAACCTGTGTTGCCTTGCAACTCAGGTGTTGGGCACTATCCTGCCGCTCATTTCTGGCACCGCTTTGACCATGCTCTATGGAAAGCCGTCCCTGCCTGACCGCTGCAATGTTGGTAGGCGTTCCGTTCAAAATCAGAAAGGTTTCCATGGGCGCCTCTAAGGCTTTTCCCGCATGGGATCTCAGCTGGCACAGCACTTGCACCCACAAGTGCGGGCCAGAGATGTCGGTTGCTCTTCCGTCTTGCCTTCTTCCCAATCTTCGCTGCCCAGGTGTTGGCATTGCCCTCCGCTTGCTTGGCGAAGCCGGTGTCCTTCAAGAGAACTTCGGACAGGTCGTGCACTTATATCAAAGCTGCTTGTTGAGTTCAGGAATCAAAGCGCTATAATTACATTCGTTCAACTGTGCCGTACAGCTTCCCTTTCTGGTGACAACAGACGATTTATAAGCTTTTTGCTTCGCATTTCCGTTGAACTGTTATGGCTGGTGATTTTGCCGTGATGACTTCTTCCTTATGAGCTCTCTCTGGCCCTTTTTTAAACAGCTGTTTCGTCTATAGCTCTATCAGCAGTTGCAAAACGGGAAACAGTCCAAAACCCCTGCAGCACATGCAACGAACAAGAATCATGAAAGCTGATCAGTCACGTAGGCTTTGTGACCTTTGCTCGGCTAGACTCGGCTTGGCTCGGCTTTGCTAGAAACGAAGGGCAAATCCTTGCTGCAGGGCGTGTTATCAGTCGTCCATGTAGAAGGAAGCAGGTGAGGGACATTGAACGTAATTTGGGTAGAGACGTTGACTGAGCAGCATGAGATGTCAACAGAGAGGAGTACCAAACTTTCGGAACGGTACTGACTCCGCCTCGGCAACTAGATGCGACACCAGTCATTTCTGTGCTGTCTGCTACCTGCCGTTGCAGATTCTGCGTTGACGGTGCAGTCGCAACGAGTAGCGCATGGCACGGTCATGTCTTCACCGTTTTCGTACGCCTCTGACTTTTGGTGAGAAGCTTTTGTGTTCCTA